TACATTCTAAATAAATTGCAAAAAAGATTAGAGTGAGAGACAGATGTCAAATAATTTCAAATTTCAAAATGTTTATTGTCAAATTTCCATACATATGAAAAATTTAAATTGATGTTCTCACTGTCAATCTTCTAAGTTAAAAAAAAAAAAAAAAAAAAAAAAGATAAAAGGAAAAATCCAAAGTTTTTCTTTAGGGAGATGCAGATTCATACATATAAAAGACATAATTATTTAAATGTAAACGCACAAGTCAAAATAAAATAGAAAAACAAGCAGTAAAAATAAATAAATAAATAAAATAATAATAATAATAATAATAATAATAATAATAAACAAACAAACAAATAAATAAATAAATAAAAATAAACTAATCACTCATCACAAACAGACCTGGACTCAAGTTTTGTTTCATTCACACTTTGTTTAACACACAAACCTGCACATTTAGACTGAGTTCTTCTCTCAAACAGAAAACACTCTGTTCCACCTTGTGATGTCATCGTGTGGTGATACAGGAAGTGCTCCACTGTGTTTTTAAACTCCACACACCTTCACTAGAATCATTTGGATCATTTCAGCCCTGGAATTGCCGATCTCTACTGAAAAATAAAAAGCTAAAAAGAGCTGCTCACTTGAAAACTCCCACTTCATGACATCACAAGGTGGAACAGAGCATTTGGAGCTTTTGGAGATGTAGACAGACTAATAATGCAGAGTTACTCAAACATGTGAATGAAACAAAACACGTTTCAAGAGTCACTTTTTGTAATATTGCTCCTTTAACAATGATCCAGGTGTTTTCATTTTAAAACTTTCTGAAAACTACAAACTCTCTTCATCATTTCATCTCATTTGAGTCTTTTTTCAGATCAGATCAGCTGCTGTGGCTTTTGTTTTTTCTATTTACACTCAAGTCCACCGGGTTTATCTTTCTGTCTCTCTTTCGTCTCTTCCTCCCTGTCCCTTCTGTCTCTCCACCTTCCTTTACTCCCCACTCCCTCTCTGTCTCTGTCTCCCTCTCTTTCCTCCTTATTCTCCTGTTCTCTTTCTCTCTCCATGCCTTTACCTCTCCTCTCTCCTGTTTCTTCCTTTTTCTTTTTCTTTCTCTCTCTCTCTCCCTCTCCACTTTCTGCCCTGGCATCTCCCTCCATTCTCCTCTCTCTGTCTTCATTCTTCTCCATCTCTCTCCCTTTCTCTCTATGTCCTCCCTCTCCCTTCTGTCTCTCCACCTTCCCTTACTCCCTGCTCTCTCCTTCCCTCTCCCTCTCTGCCTCTGTCTCTCTCTCTTTCCTCCTTATTCCCCTGTTCTCTTTCTCTCTCCATGCCTTTCTCTCTTCTGTTTCTTCTTTATTCTTTCCCTCTCTCTCTCTCATCTTCCTCCATTCTCCTCTCTCTGTTTTCATTCTTCTCCGTCTCTCTCCCTCTCTCTCTACTTCCTCACCTGCCTTCTTCTCTCTCTCTTTCTCTTTTTCTTCACCCTCCCTCGCTCTTTCTCTTGCTCACTCTCTCTTCTCTCCCAACCCCCCACTCTCTCTCTCTCTTCGCTCTCTCTCTCCTCCCTTCTACCCCCTTTCTCTCTCATCCTCTCTTTTTCTGCACACATTCTCTTTCCCTCCCTTTCTACTTCACCTCTGCCTTCTTCACTTCTCTCTCCCTCTCTTTCCTCCTGATTCTTTCTCTTTCTCTCCCTCTCTTTCCTCCTGATTCTTTCTCTTTCTCTCCCTCTCTTTCCTCCTGATTCTTTCCCTTTCTCTCCCTCTCTTTCTCTATATATCTCTCCCTCCTTACTTCTTCCCCCTCTCTCTTGTTCTCCTCATCCCTCTCTTACCACTTTATTCTCTCTATCTCTCCCCCTTCCTTGTCTTTCTCTTTGCCTCTCTCCCTCCATTTCTCACCCATCCCCTCCCCCCCTCTTTCTCTCTTCATCTCTTCCTCCTTACCTACCTTCCTTTTCTCCCCTCTCTCTCCTTCCGTCTTCCTCTCTTTCTCTCTGCCTCCCCCTTTTTCTTCTTTATTCTCTAGTTTGTTTTTCCACCACTCTCTCCTTTTCTTTCTCCCTCCATCCCTTTGTTATTCTTTCCCTCTCTCTTTCTCTCTCTTTCTCACCTGCCCTCCTTTCCGCTCTTTCTCTATCTCTCTCTCCCTCGCCACTTCTTCCCCTCCTGCCTTTCTCTCTTTCTTCACCCTCTCTCGCTATTTCTCTCGTTTTGTCTCCCACCCCTCACTCTCTCTCTCCATCCCTCTCTTTTGCTCTATATCCCTCCCCTCTTCTCTTTCTTTCTCTTCTCCTCTCTCTCGTCATTTCTCTCTCCCTCCTTCTCTTTTTCTACACACACATTTATTTTTTTCCTCCTTTTCTACGTCACCTCTGTCTTCCTCACTCTTCCTCTCTCTCTCTCTCTTCCTCCCTTCATCCCTCCCTCTCTCTTCCCTCGCTCTTCTTCCTCACATTCAGAGTCTTCAGAGGAAACGGCTCCAGCCAAACTCACCTGCTGCCATCTAGTGACAAATATGAGAAGTGACTCGTTACACTTTCACACACCACCGCTTTTAGATTCAATTAAACGCGATCTGAACATTCTACAACGAGTCGGTGTTAACATTCGAACACTTTACACTCAATATTTAATCTGTCATTTTCTGTGTGTTACTGGGCTTTCTTTTCTATACACTGTAAAACCCGACAAGTTAGGACCACTCAAACAAACTGATGAAACTGATTACATGGACAAGTTTGAGTTTTTGAGTTAACAAACTGTCTATCTTTAAGTAGAACATACCCTAAAACTTTAAGTACTATAATGGTTCATTTTTGTTTTTAAGTATTGCGTATCCTAAAAGTTTGAGTAGTTTGTAATTCATATTTTTCATCTTTTTTGACAAAACATAACTAGTACACAAAACTTTAAACTTTTTGGCGCCTTCAAGACAAAATGTTTAACTGTTTACTTCAACCTTTTTTAACCAGTACTCAATGTTTAGTAACTACACATGCATTATTAACAGTGTTGGGAAGGTGACTTTTAAAATGTATTCCCCTACAGATTACAGATTACATACACCAAAATGTAGTTTGTAACATAATCCATTAAATTACTTAAAGTGAGTAATGTAATCTGAATACTTTGGATTACTTGATATTGTCATGTTTTTTAAAACTACATAAATGTACCAACCACATCCTGAAAATTCTTGTTTGTTCTCTTCAAATTGGCCCTGGTTTAGACCTGGTTTAGTCCTGGTTTAGACCTGGTTTAGTCCTGGTTTAGTCCTGGTTTAGTCCTGGTTTAGTCCTGGTTTAGTTCTGGTTTAGACCTGGTTTAGTCCTGGTTTAGTCCTGGTTTAGTCCTGGTTTAGTCCTGGTTTAGACCTGGTTTAGTCCTGGTTTAGTCCAAAATGTGAAAACAGGAAAATCCCCCATGTAATCCATTTATTTCAACAAAGTAACTGTAATAAAATTAACACTCACTGAAACAGTAACTGTAACTGAATACAGTTACTCATAATTTGTACTCTGATTATGTAACTCTGGTACATGTAATCTATTACTCCCCAACACTGATTATTAATACATAAACAGATTGAAACATACACATTTTTGAATTACATTACATTTGTATTGGTCAACTGTACAAACTTCTATAATGAGCTAGTACAATGTAGGATGTCAATACAAATTTAACTCAAACACTGTTTTAAAGGAAAAACAAAATCAGTACCCTTCACTGAAAAAAAAGGTTGCTAGATTTGTGTAAAAAAGTTCTGGAAAGCTGTTGCATGCAATAAAATGATGTTTAGGCTTTGAAACTTATTTCGATCTCCTCTACACATATTTTTCTCAGAACATGAACGTCACTTTTTCATGTTGATGACATTTGATCAAATCTTGCTTATATGCATATTTATCTTATGTTACATTTTCGTGAAATGTATAAGTGTGTATAATTTCATTTAATTGATCTAATTCTGTAAAAGAAAACAAAAACAGTCTTTAGTTTTCCACAGTTCTGTTTTGTCTTAAACAGAATCAAACACACAAAGACACAAGTACAGAGACACACAGTTTGGAGCTGGACAGTGTGAAGATTTATCCAGTGAAGAAGCTCTGGTCTCTGTGGACACAGAATAACACATGATGATCACATTCTGATGATCTACTCTGTTCTACATGTTTAAATACATTTAAAAGTACTTATTACTACAATAATGGACCAGAACAGAATCACAAGAACATTAGAAGTGTATCTGCAGAAACAAAACTCACCATGTGCTGCTTTTCTTCCTGTCTAAACACAGTAACAGGGAGGGCATCTGGTATAAAGTCTCCTAGTGCCACATCACCCTGTAGAAACACAATCACTGTTTCAATAGGAAGTTCATTTTGAAAAAAATCTTTTAAAATAATTTTAGTTGAGTTACTTACTTTGTTCATCTGTGCTCTGTGTTTTGTTGGTTCTTCAACATCTTCCTTTTTCTGAAACATCAGCTGTAACATTCATGAACTTCCCCACAGCTCCAGCAGAACCTGGACGTCACTCTGTGTTTGTAGACGACTCTGGAACAAACACATTCACATCTTGGTACAACTGTCACACTCTTGTAGATGGACAGTCAAAGACAATTTGTTTCATGGAAACAGTTCTTACATTAACTCTAATTTCAAATAAACACCACAAACATGTTTTAACAATGAAAACATTCTAGTCCAGAGAAACACATAAAATCTCCACACTGTGTGTCTCTGCTCCTGTCTGTCCCGTGTCCTGTTACATTTGAATTTTCCCTCCAAAAGTTTTGGGGAGGAGAATTCCAGAGGGACGAGCCTCACCACAGATTAGAATAAAGTCATGTTTCCTCAACCTGATTAAAACATTCAGGTCTCACATCAACCACAATCAAGTGACCTTTGTAAGATTTAAACATGCTGGACAGAGAAATGTAAAAAAGTCATGTTATTGTTGTCAAATTTCTCAGTGTATAAAGGTTAATTTTGGAGGTTAACAAATTGTCTAAGTAGCACATACCCTAAAAGTTTAAGTAGTTTGTAATTAATATGTTTCATCTTTTTTGACAAAACATAACTAATACACGAAACTTAAAACTTTTTGGCGCCTTCAGTACAAAATATTTAACTGTTTACTACAACCTTTTTTAACCAGTACTCAATGTTTAGTAAAAGCACATACATTATGAATACATAAACAGATTGAAACATACACATTTTTGAATTACATTACATTTTTATTGGCCAACTGTACAAACTTCAGTAACGAGCTAGTACAATGTAGGATGTCAATAGAAATTTAACTCAAACACTGTTTTAAAGGAAAACAAAATCAATACCCTTGATTACCCATTCAAACAGGCATCAACACTGAAAAAAATATAATAATAAAAAAATAAATACTTGGGACATTTTCCAACAAGTAATGGTTCAGTGGTGGAAGACGTACTAAAGTTTGTCACTAAGTAAAAGTACAGATACCAGAGCAAAACAATTACTCAAGTATAAGTATCACATGAAAAAGTCTACTTAAGTAAAAGTATTAAAGTACCTCTTTAAAAATGTATGTAAAAGAGCATTGTGTAACTTTTCTAGTGGAAGGTCTGTCAAATGCTTTTTCTCCATGGAGATGTTATTGCTTTATCTGGAATGTTCCACAGTATGGCATTAAACTTTTCTATCTTCATGGAGACCAAACCAGACTAAGTTACAGGTCAGATCTGTGGAGAGGCGACCCCACTCACAGTCAGACTGTCTGTTGTTCGAGGTATTTTTGAGCTATAAAACCACCTGTAACTGAATACATGTAAAGTAGGTCTGTTTAATGTCACACTGTGGAACATTCCAGGCAGAGCAACGACATTTCCATTAGGGGTGTAAGGAAAAATCAATTCAGTGATATATATTACAGCGATATTTCCAATCCACTTTATTTCTGTCGCACATTTCACAAGCAAACAGTTCCCAAAGTGCTGCACAAATACATCATAATAACAATAATAAAATAAACTGCAAAAAAAAAAAAACTAAACTACAATAAAATACTAAAATATTAGACTTTAAATAATAAAACCAGTCAAATAAAATAAGAATAAAATCATAGAATAGAAATAAATAAACTAATAAATAAATCAAACAGACCTGGACTTGTGTTTTGTTTCATTCACATGTTTATCTCACAAACCTGCATCCTGAGTTCTTCTCTCACACTGAAAACACTCTGTTCCACCTTGTGATGTCATTTGGTAATACAGGAAGTGCTCCACTGTGTTTTTCAACTCTACACACCTTCACTAGAATCATTTGGGTGATTGAACTAAAGGTGAAACTTCGCTAATAACTTCAAGGACAACACGGTGCAACAGAACATTTGGAGCTTTGGAGATGCAGAAAAATGATGAAAACGTTACTCAAACATGTGTCAGTGAAACAAAACACAAGTGCAGCTCTAGGAGGAAACAACATTGGAACATGATTTAAAGCTCACAAGAGTCTATTTTTCCTCCCCCCCCCAACGTCCCAACAGCCCCACAGTGGAGAGTTTTCAGTCTCGTCTTAAAACCCACTTTTACTCTCTGGCTTTTAACACCGTTGTGTGGTCCTCTGTGTCTTTTATTTATTTTTATGTGTTTTTATTTTCTGTGTACGTTGTGTCACCATGGTCACTGCTGAACACCCCACCATAGACATACATGTAGAACAGTACCAACTAGAAACACATGACAATTTTGCAGTGAAACAGAAATTTTAAATTGACGAACAAAAAGACAACAAAAAGCACATTTTACTTTCAGATGTTAGTTTCATTTTGTTCCAGTCATAATGACAGTCTTTAATTCTGCACTAATATAAAACTGACTGATATTAATGTTACATATGATATTTATAATCATTTTGAAACTTCCTATATTAAGAAAAATAGACTCTTGTGAAGCTTTAAATCATGTTTGAATGTTGTTTCCTCCTCAAAAACAGAGCTGGACTTGTGTTTTCTTTCATTTACACTTTTGAGTAACTTTTTTAAAATAATTTTTCTGCATCTCCAAAGCTCCAAATGTTCTGTTGCACCGTGTTGTTCTTGAAGTTATTAGCGAAGTTTCACCTTAAGTTCAATCACCCAAACGATTCTAGCGAAAATGTGTGGAGTTTAAAAACACAGTGGAGCACTTCCTGTATCACCACATGACATCACAAGGTGGAACAGAGTGTTTTCGGTGTGAGAGAAGAAATCTGGATTTTTAATCGAAACGTAACACTGTAATTCTATATAAATAAGTGAGTATTGACTTTGATGTGTGTGTTTGTGTGTTTGTGTGTTTGTGTGTTTGTGTGTGTGTGTGTGTGTGTTTGCTGATTGTTGTTGCTTGTGTCCTCAGAGTGTCCCAGAGTCCAGTGGGACAGAACTTCACATTCGTCTTGACCGATATCGAAAGTCAACAGAGATTTGGATTCTGCAGACTCACACAGGGATGTAGAGTGTGCATCTGTCTGCTCAGGTAACACACACACACACACACACACACACACACACACAACACACACACACACACACACACACACACACACACACACACACACACACACAGAGACTCACACAGGGATGTAGAGTGTGCATCTGTCTGCTCAGGTAACACACACACACACACACAACACACACACAACACACACACACACACAGACTCACACAGGGATGTAGAGTGTGCATCTGTCTGCTCAGGTAACACACACACTCACACACACAACACACACACACACACAGACTCACACAGGGATGTAGAGTGTGCATCTGTCTGCTCAGGTAACACACACACTCACACAACACACATACACTCACATACACAGAACACACACATGGAGCACACACACACTCACACGGGGCCTGGGTCTGCTCAGGTAACACAATGGTCCTGGTTTAGTTCTGGTTTAGACCTAGTTTAGACTTGGTTTAGTCCTGGTTTAGTCCTGGGGCGTGTCAGGAGAATCAGAAGCTTGACCAGTGTTTTTATGGTCTATATTTCCTTCATCAGTGTTTCCTCCTGCAGAATGTGTTATTGTGACACATACATATGAAAATGTTCCATCTGTGACTTCCATGTTGTGTTTGTGATCGATCAAATGATGACCTGATATGTAAAAGTGTGCTCCAGTACAAACATTATGTGTTTGGACTTTCAGAGATAACGAAGATCTGAGCTCAGAGAGACAGTTTGTAGAAGTTTTTGTTTTGTTCCCGCATGTGTACAACAACACTATAGTTTGAATATAGACAACAGTGGCAGATGCTTCCATCAGTCTGCCCCATGGCAGCTGTGGCTTCCATGAGTTCACCACCAACCAGTGTGGAGTGAAGCAATAATCACACAATAATCACACAGAGGAGTGTTTTGAGGAGGCTCCAACAAACCTGTAAAATGCACCACAAATGCAATGTGTTATTATTAGAATTAAACCCCTGGTTTAGTCTTGTTGAGGCCTGATCTGATCCTGCTTTGGTCCTGGTTTAGTCCTGATAGTCCTGATAGTCTAGGTTGGTCCCAGTTGTGATGTGGTGTGTGTGTATATGTTACAGAATGTATCACATAAAGCAAACACAAGTGTAAAGAGTGATTCAATCCAGCATTTCTCAAATACAAAATGTAAAAGTGTAAAAATCCTGTTCTGTGGTTTTCTTAGGATCCACAGTAAATGTTTATGTGACGCCTCTCGTCTTTCTAGAACAATCCGTGACAGGATCAGTGTGTGCAGCAGAGTTCACACTTAACAAGGAGAAATCTATTCTTTTTTAAGTTAAATGGTGCAGATGAAAAGTTTAATTTAATATTTGAAAATAATATTGAATTGAAAATTTAGATTGAGCAAATATGAGGAAAAAATACTGATTTTTTTTTTTTTTTTCTCATATCACCCAGCCCTAAGTAAAACCTTTAAAAGACCAAGAATAATATAAAAAAAATACAAATATGTGCTTATTTTAAAATCCCAATCAAAGCCTCTTATTTTGAAATTAAAATTCATCATTGTTTTATTTTTGTTCTGTTCTGGTCTCTTTTTACCTTTGCTGTTTTTCTTAGAATTTCATTATATATTTTTTTTACATGAGACCAAATTAATTTCATACATTTTTTGAGCTGCTGCAGACTCCCTCTCTCTTTCTCTTTCTCTTTTTCTCTTTTTCTTTCTCTCCGTTCAGCCCACACAGACTCAGTGTCGTGTCTTTAATTATCCGAAAGTTTCCTGTTTTTGATGCTCTTCTTCCTTTCACACAGCGGCGGCCTCACGTCAAGCTGGAGCCGCCGAAATTTAAGTTTGGTTTTTTGCATAATTTTGCTCAAACAAAAGACGATTGTGATGAAATGATGGAGCGATAATTGCGTTGACACTGTGTTTGTACGGCTGTAATTGTATTGTGCGTTTGTTAAAAGGAGCGAGAGAAGACGAGAGGAGAGAAAAACGCCGTAATAAAACTATTATTAAAACGTTTCAACAGAGACGTCACTGTGATCGACTTAAAGGTGCATTGTTTCACTTTTCTGTTTAATGCCATAGTGTGAAACATTCCAGACAACGCAGTAACATCTCCATGAAGAACAGCATTTCACAGACCCTTTTTAAAAAAAATGTATTAAGACTGATTAATGAAGAATTAATAAAAGAAAACACCTTTATTTAGCTTGATTGACTCTCCCTCTTTTTCTTTTTCTCTCATTCCTCACCGTCTCTTTGTCTCTCCCATCCTGCTCTCCTCTGATCTCTCCTCTTTTTCTCTCACTTTCACTTTTTCTGTCTTACCTTTTTGTAACGAAAAGGTAACAATCAGGTCTATTTCCCTTCCCTTTTCTATTTCCTTCTTTTTATCCTCTCTCCTCTCCTCCTTCCCTCACTTTCTCTCTCTTCTCTCTACTCTCGCTGTCCTCTTTTCTCTCAGTCTATCCACCAATTGCTCCTGGTTACCTCCTTGTTCTCTCTCTGTCTCTCATTTCCTCTCTATCTATCTATCTATCTATCTATCTATCTATCTATCTATCTATCTATCTATCTATCTATCTATCTATCTATCTATCTATCTATCTATCTGTCTATCTATCTATCTATCTATCTATCTATCTATCTATCTATCTATCTATCTATCTATCTATCTATCTATCTATCTATCTATCTATCTATCTATCTCTCCTCACACTGTTCTCTTTTCTCTCAGTCTATATCCAACTGTTGCTCTTGGTTTCCTACTTGTTCTCTCTCTCTCTTCTCTCTGTCTCTCTCTTTCTCTTTTCCTCTCTCCCTCCCTCTTACTCTCTCCTTTCCTTTCCTGTTGCTCCTGGTTACATCCTTGTTCTTTTCCTCTGCCTCTCTCTCAGTCTCTCTCTCTTCCCCTCTCTCCTTTCCTCTCCTTTACTCCTGGTTACCTCTATTTTGTCTCCCCCTCCCTCTCTCCCTCCCTCCCTCTCTCTCTCTCCTTCTTTTTCTCTTTCTCTCTCTCTTTTCTCTCCTGTTGCTCCTGTTTGCCTCCTTGTTGTATCTCTCTCTCTCTTTCTCTTTCTCTCCCTCTTTCCCTGTCTCATTGCTCCCAGTTACCTCCTTGTTGTCTCACTGTCTCTCTCTCTCTCTTTCTCTCTCTCTGTTTCTCTCTCTCCTCTCCTCTTCCATTGCTCCTGGTTACCCCCTTATTGTATCTTTCTCTCTCCCTCTCTTTCTCTTTCCCTCTCTCCTTTCCTCTCCTGTTGCTCCCAGTTACCTTCTCCTTCTCTTTCTCTCTCTAATTTCTTCTCCTGTTTCTCCCGGTTACCTCCTTGTTGTCTCTTTCTCTCTCTCCTGTTCTCTCCTGTTTCTCCCGGTTACCTCCTCGTTGTCTCTCTTTCCCTCTCTCCTTTCCTCTCCCATTGCTCCCGGTTACCTCCTCGTTACCTCGCAGTTACCACGGCAGCAAACGAAGCGCTCGGACTCATTATGTTGAATCGTTGGTTCCTTTGGCCTGTCTGTTCTGTCAGTTTTCTCTACATTTGCATATTCCCTTCACTCAAATAATCACTCAAGTTTCTGCAATTTTTATGGTTTTAATTACTGTTTCAAAACTTTATGAGCAAAAATGTACAGAATATATTTTTTTGTCTATCTAAGAAAATATGATTTGCTGAAATGTGTAGAAAAATAGGGTTGAAATGCACTCAGTGTACTCAAACAAACAAACAAACAAACAAACAAACAAACAAACAAACAAATAGGACTGATTGTGTTTAAGACAATCACTGTTGGGCCAATGACTTTAAAACTCCTAATGTGTTATTTATGACTTGTTACTGTCATTTCAAAGTCATTTGTTACATTACAATATTACTGTATTTAAAATGTAAAACATTACATTACTATTGCATTATTTTTAAGTTACTGTCACCAAAAGAACTGTGAAGATGCTGAATTTTTGCGCTGTACATGGACTGAACCAGGACTAAACCAGGACTGAACCAGGACTGAACCAGGTCTAAACTAGGACTAAACCAGGACTAATCTTGGACTAGAACTTGGAATCTAGGAGCATGGAGTTCTGCGTCGGTCCTTTTGCGTGTGGTCACCTGACGGTCTACGTGGGTGCGTCTCCGGTGTTTCATCGCTGCTGATATTGTGGTGATTTTAGCAAATTTGTATGAAGAAAAACCCACCACTTCAGTCCAGGTTAAAAAAGCAGTGTGACGCACGTTACTCACATTTGTACCCAGTGAAATATTACTTCTTTTTTTTCCCTGTAATGCCGAACATTACAGTGTTACAGCAAAAAGCAACACATTACAACAATTCATTACTTTTATAACATGTTACTCCCAACACTGACGACACTGACGACTGTCTTTGTATTCTTTTACTTTAAAACCCCTTAAGGACATGTTATTAGACATTGCACATTAAAATAATTGTATCAACAGAATTAAATAATATATATTAAAAAAAAAACTTAAAAACAAAAATGTTCATGATAAGGTAACGTGTGTCATGTTCTAATGTTGTTTCCTCCTCAAAAACACACATGGAGTTGTGATTTGTTTCATTCACACAAGTTCAAGTCATATGGGCCTTTAATGTTTCATGATGAATATAATAGTTTTAGTTTATTCAGTATATTTCAAAATAAAATCTAAAATACTGATGTTGCCATTTTTAACATCACCAAAGCCCTAAAACCACTATTTAAAGTATGACAGCTTTTGATCCTTCTCAAATGATGACTTCATTTGGTGGGAGAATACTTTGAATAAATATAAATTATAGTTTTACACTGATGAAGAAACAGTTTGAAAATAAAGATGAAAATGACTGGAAGTGTAGAGTTATATTTTAGACAGTCCCACACTGATGACATCACACAGGGAGAATACTGTCCAGAATGTTGGCATTTATTCAAGAAACACATTTTTCCCTGTATGTTAAATATTATTTTAACAAACTAAATGTGTTTTCTTACATTTTTATTTGCCAAATATTCATCTCTGTGTATGTTAGAGGT